CTTCATCAGCGAGAATAATGGAAAACATCATGAATCATTATTATATAGGCTGTGTTATCAAAAATAACGGTGACAGAGAGAAAATAAGAGATACTTATAAAACTGTAAACAGTGGTTTTTACCTTAATAAAAACCATATTCTTTTATTTTATTTACACATGGTGTACCGAAAGTGGGTTATATGTTTATAGAAATAATAATAATAATAATAATAATAATAATAATAATAATAATAATAATAATAATAATAATAATAATAATAATAATAATAATATTAATAATAAATAAATAAATAAATAAACAACAAGAAATAAAATCGGGTCACCACAAAAACGGATCGAATAATAAAAAAATTATGCCTTAAAAATCGAGAACCCACTAAGGATACCAAGATCCTTGTTGAGGGAGGAGAAATTAGTGGATATGAGGGCACATCGTAGGTTACTGAGAGAATGGTTGGGAGAGTTGAAGTGTTCTGCTACAGGAAAACCTGTGCGATTGTGTCGGATAGAAGATTTGTTGTTATTGAATCTGGACCTAAAATCAATGCCAGTTTCGCCAAAATAATGACCATCTTCACAAATATTGCAGAATAACATATATACTACATTGTGAGCATCACAGTTAAGAGGGGGGAGAAGAATAGTGCAACCAGAATGAGGCATAGTAATAGAGCAATCGATGGTGATAAATTTACAAATTTGACATCTAGGCTTGTGGCATTTGGTATTACCGGCGGTTCTACAAGATGAAAGTAAGCGAGATGAAAATAGAATAGATTTAAGATTGGGCGGTTGGCGGTTGGCTACTACCGGAGATCATTGAAAATGGTATTTATAGAGGGATCGAGTTTGAGGGATTGAAATCCTTGTTTAAGTCTGTTAGCTAGTTTGGAGCTACTGGGACAGTAATCAATGCCTAGGGGTATGCGTTCCGTGGTGGGCTTAGGATTTGGAGCTAGAGAGGAGAGAAGGTCTAGAAAACATATTAGCTCTAGAGGTTTGCTTGAGTATAAATTTAAGGGAATAACCGTTATCCAGAAAGTAAGCCGTGAGCTTGTTGACATGATCAAAGTAGTCATCATCGTTTGAACGAATTCGTCTGCTGCGAAGACATTGGCTGAATATCAATGATTGTTTGAGTTTAAGGGGATGAAAGCTGTTATAGTTAAGATAACAGTGACGATCGGTGGGCTTGAGTACAGAGAAGTCGAGAGTTGCCCGTCTATAACCTTGACAGAGACATCGAGGAACGGGAGAGTGTATTGAGAGTGTGCAAACGTGAATTTAATAGTGGGATAAATTTCTTAACTGGCGCTATAGAAATTTGAAAATCTATCTATCTATCTAATTACACCAAACATTCTCATTAATAATAATAATAATATCTATATTAATTGTATTTTTAATCCATCTGCGCATTTTCATTGGAAGTTAAAAACTAATTTAATGTTTTCTTCGAATTTTTTAGGTTTTCAGAATTTTACGACAGACGGTCTTTCATAAGATACCACTTAATAGCATGCTGATTATTTGATGTAACTTATATATCAGTCTTTTATTAGCCTGCTGAAAACGTTGGCCATTTAAAACAAACAATACTAATACAATACAGTGCCTTATTATTATTTCAAACCTAAGTAAAAGCAAATCCTTCGGGAGCCACTAGTGCTCATGGCTAAAGCTTTTCCCCAGTTTCTGTCATGAAACAGGTGAGGGTGTGATACTTCCCCTGGATGGGATGCTAGTCCACCACATGTACTCCCAAAATCCTAGTTGTATCCACGGATACAGCAGGTTAAACTGAAGCAATGAAAATGCCACAAATAAATTTCCTGGTTATGACTCTAAATCAGCCACCAGTAATTTAGCAACTCATCATGGTAGTCTTAGCGACCGCCAGGGGCGGCGGCAACGGGAAGAGGAGATGGGGTGGGGCAGGTCCCCCTGAGGGAGTGCTCACCCCCCCCCCCCCCACCGGGGGAGCAAACCACAATTCGTTGGGGAAAAATAAATGTATAGGCCTATGTATTTTTTACATATTAGTAGACCCCAAAACCGATTAAATACTGTAAGCCTTTGAAACCTAAATTGTCATACATTTTGGGGGCTTCGACCCCTGGGACACATTCGAGAGATTTTGTGCGACGTCCCAACTAAGCCCACATTTTTTCATTGGGGACAGCGCCCCCCACTCTACATTTAGTTCAGCTTAAATTTAGAGAGAAGTGTTTCTTTGATCATTTACGAACAGTAGAAGTCATCAAAGAAGATAAAAAGTATTCAAACCTGTAGAACAAAATCACGACCACGAAAATCTGCAATGGTTCTTGGTAACCGCGTTCTCCCCCAGACAAACCGCAGGAACAGCGACCTCTCGTTGTTGGTGAACTCTTCCATGACCTCCCAGAACCAATGGACCAATGGTGAGGAACCATCAATGCCTTTGTATGTAGCGACTGTCTCTTATACACATCTCTTTGATCAGTAAATTGTCAGTGGTTAAATTAATGCATTTATAGCTGTTTATGAAACTACAAAACAATTGCGGTCTCTAAAAACAGTTCCACTATTGCACATGAAACAATCATCACACTTTAAAAGCTATCAACTTCCGAGGCATCAGACGTCTCGATGTCCACTAAGTCCAAATCACATTCATCGGTGTCGTCGCAAGATACATCTCCGACAGGATCACCGCTCAGTGCGATCCTGGCATAATCATCCGTGTCGATGGACTTGCAGAAGTGAATGGCGTATTTCAGTTTTTCTCGCAGGATGACTTTACAGGAATAACGAGGCATTTTGAGCAGGTGTTATATGTTTATAGAAATAATAATAATAATAATAATAATAATAATAATAATAATAATAATAATAATAATAATAATAATAATAATAATAATAATAATAATAATAATAATAAATAAATAAATAAACAACAAGAAATAAAATCGGGTCACCACAAAAACGGATCGAATAAAAAAAAAATTATGCCTTAAAAATCGAGAACCCACTAAGGATACCAAGATCCTTGTTTAAACCAGATACGTGTGTTTTGTGTTTGATAATGAGTTTGAGTTCCATGAGTCTACGTTGGTTGAGGGAGGAGAAATTAGTGGATATGAGGGCACATCGTAGGTTACTGAGAGAATGGTTGGGAGAGTTGAAGTGTTCTGCTACAGGAAAACCTATGCGATTGTGTCGGATAGAAGATTTGTTGTTATTGAATCTGGACCTAAAATCAATGCCAGTTTCGCCAAAATAATGACCATCTTCACAAATATTGCAGAATAACATATATACAACATTGTGAGCATCACAGTTAAGAGGGGGGAGAAGAATAGTGCAACCAGAATGAGGCATAGTAATAGAGCAATCGATGGTGATAAATTTACAAATTTGACATCTAGGCTTGTGGCATTTGGTATTACCAGCGGACCTACAGGATGAAAGTAAGCGAGATGAAGATAGAATAGATTTGAGATTGGGC